TTTTAGATCTAAACTTGAATCTTCCTTCTATGCAACAAGAGAAACTTCTTGATCTTCAAGCTTCACTAAAAAATGAAGAAATGAGCTTCACTAAAAAAAATGGAGAAATAAGCTTCACAAATGGTCCAAAAACTCAAGAAGAAGAAGAATGAGGCTAGGGTTTTTTTTCAAGGAATGTTCTAAGGGTGTTGGAGGTTGAGAATGATCAAACCGTAAGGGTTAGTGTCCTTTAAAAACTTTTAATCCGATGTGTTGGGCATGTCGCGACTTTTAAAGCGCGCTTCGCGACCTTTCCGATAAATTCAAAATTTTCAGATTTTTCAGCAAATGTGATTAATGGCTTCCTGCTTCACCCCATCCTTATAATTTCTTATGGACTATAACCCCTACCCCTTCGCCCTAATTAAAGAATGAAAAAACATAATCGAAACTCAGATGTTGCATTCAAGCAGTTGTTAATGATGATCAAAATTGCACCGGAGATATTATTATCGGGGAGTGAAATGAACTATGTTTTTTCACAGATTTTAAAAAAAGATGACGAAATCTATCCTTGGAAATCATTTTTGTAAAAATAGCGAAACCAAATGTTAGGCAAATCCCCTAAAATTTTTGGGATTGAACTAAATAAATGTCACACCCCGAAACCGGGGGCGGAAACGTTCCGGGGCGGAGGACGTCATGCGTAGTATCACAACCATTGTACATAGTAAGCATAATAAACACAACCATTACATTACAATAAGAATATTTACAGTTGTTTAAAAGCATTGAAAACATACTTTATATACATTAGTATAATCAAAAGTAAAGACGAGACTTCTATATGCTCCGCCTTCTCCAAAAGTAATCGGAATACCTGTCTAATGTAAACCTAAGAATACAAGCGGTTTGAAAATATATCAGCATAAAGCTGGTGAGTTCATAAGCATGATTTTTGTAATGAAAATTGGTCACCGAATTAATGAAAATACTTCATTTTTATGAAATTAGTATCGAAAACCATTGTTACCAACTTAAGAAATACATATGCATGTTATCCAAGAAAATCTCATATTTTCTAACATGTTTGTTGGTTTCAATATGATAAGTACCTTTTGTTTGAAAACCCTGATTACCATCAGTAAGTATAGTAGTTTTATTACTAAAAATAAAACCATATAAGAAGGAAATCCCGTAAACAAGGTTAATATATACATATTGTGAGTCGTATAACCATACTAATTTGACCTGTGACCTCTTTGACGTTCTTCATGCATTGTACGATTACAAAATTTGTCACTCCAAGCGTGCCCGCCTAACTCTAGCTAGCAGTGCAGGTGTAGGATTGTCGGTCCCGAATAGATCTATTAACAAATTTCACGCTCTCCCACCAGGAGACTCTAATTATACTACCGGCGAGGATTTATTGGTACCCCGAGGGGCGTAACGAAGATAAGTCTCACAATCATGTATTAATTAGTTTACGTTTTGTTCGGTTGTTCTCGAGTTCGAAATCGTTGGTAATGGTGTAAAGTATAATAATTATACACAAGATAATTACTTAGTAAGATACTCTAGGTTAGCAATGGATAAACTAAATCTGACATAGTTTATATCTTTGACTTTACATAAAATTCGAATCTGTAAGATAGGTGATGAAATCCCACACTATACCCATTATAGATGGAATGGTTTGATAAGTTCCTGAGCTGTTTTGAAAAACTATGTAATTATATTTAGAAATTGTCCCCTATGCTCCGCGTATTACAAAAGGGATAGAAAACCGTTGTAATTACATTAGTTTTTTAGTTACGAAATCCCTTATGATTAGCTTGTATTCCCCCCTGAAAACATGAAAAACTCGGAAAAAGTGTAGGGGTATGAACTCACCTGCAGTGAGTGGAATGGATGGAAGTGCCGGGTAGGATGCTAGGTGTTAAGTGAGGACTTGAACACCCCCACGGATCCTATGTAACATGAAGTGATACATAATGGTATCTAATTAGTTATTTAATCACTAATTAGTAAGTAAGTACACTTTGATGCCTGAAAACACTTTGATTCAAGTGCTAGGAGTGTTAAGAGTTGCATCTAAGGGGAGTATGGCATCACTTTGGAGTTTACTATTCAAATGGTAGTCCTTAGGGGTGTTTACGGTTCCAATACCATTTCCCCCATGAGTTTGCGGTTGTAAACTCATGGCAATGGTGTCATTGGGTGCTCAAAGGTCTTAAACTACTCAAGGAATTATGCTAGACTCGAATCAAGGGCTATGGAAGTGTTGGGGCTTGAAATGGACCACTATGTGGAGTTTACGGTTCTTGGACCACTCCTTGGGGAGTTTACGATCATAAACACATGAGTTTATGGCTGTAAACTCATGTTTTCCCTGTGTTTTGGTGCATCTAGGTTAAGCATGTAAAGTTCTAGCCACTTATACAAGCCATAGAAGGTGCTAAGGGCATTTTAACACCCTTAGAAGGTGTTTACGGTTTTGGGAGATTCCCCAACCGTAAACTCATGTTTACTCCTTTCATTTCGTGTTTTGTGGTTCTTAGATCATTCATGCATGTTCCTAGTTCATTAGCCAAGCATTGGAAGGAGTTTGGGGCATCAAAACCCCTTTTTGGGGTGTTTACGGTTTTGGGAGGTTCCCAAACCGTAAACCCATGTTCTTGTGGTTTCTGGGTGTTTAGTCAATGGATTTGCAAGTATTCTAAGCAAACAACTAGCTAAGAGGGGTTTACTTACTTATGTGAAGCTTGTAGGAGTGTTTCTTGATCAAAACCCAAAATTGTAGAGAGAGAGAGAGAGTAGAGAGAGAAAGTTTCTAGAGTGTGAAAAAGTGGAAATGAAGACCATTCAACCCTTATATAGGGTTGACTTTACGGCCAGGGTGGAGGGGGGGTCCACCAAACACCAACAACAAATGGAGTTTACGGTCGTACGCGAGTTTACGGCCGTAAACTCGCTTTGGCCGTGAACTAGTGGTTTTTCAAGGGAATCGAGGGTTTTTCGCGTGAATTTTCGTATTCCGTCACTTATGAAATTACTACAATAACCCTAATTGATTTACCTAACTCAAGAAGTTAACGCAAAAATTTTAATAAAAATAAATTTTTATTAACAGAAGTGGGTTATAGTGACAGAATAAATTCCGGGTTGTCACATTAAAGCGTTTGGAGTTGACATTTATCTTCCATAAACCGGCGAGCTCTTGAAACTCTAGTGGTATGTTTCTGGTGAATCCTTTTGCAATGAGGGTGAGAATCCGTAACAATTTCAACTATGATAATGTTGACGAAAACACATCGACTAAGCTAGTGTTCCATAACACAATCTTATATACATTCCAAAAGAATCACAAAACACACTGTTATAATCTCTACACTAATAGTAATAGGTACTAGAATCCTATGAATCCAAATTATTGTAAGGGTCACTTGTTATGTTACCTTTGAATTCAAGCATGATCTCTTTCTCAAAGGCCGCCGCAACCACCTAATCGACAGCCGCCGACAACAAGAATGCAATTAGCAAGAGAAAGCTGAGTGTAAAGTACAACATTGTTGTAATAAACCTCTCATTGATTCAAATATGGTAACAAATGTCGATTACTACTACTACACTACTAGTTGGAAATCAAATTCGAGACCCACCTACAATTTGATTAGAGATGGAGATGAAAACCTAGTGGTGTTAGCTGCTTTAAGAAGGGGTGTAGGAGGGTGTTTTTTAAGATGATGGTGGCGGGGAAGAAGACGGGGTGGGGCAGGTAGTTTTAATAGGGTTTATTATTTTCTTTTTCTTTTTTTAATGTTAAAATCAGTTAAAGAAATATTTAAAAAAAATTAAAAATCATATAAAATTATTTTTAGGTAGGAAAGGGACCAACCACAATTAAAATGAAAACCACAATAACCTTCAATATGGACTAAACTTAATATTTCTGAAAACCACAACGACAATTTATAAAGATTCCGTTTTTTATTAGTATTTAATTTACATCTACTTGTTATTTGTATGATTTTATAAAAATCATATCTTATGAGTAATATAATGATTCTTAAAAGAGAAATTTACAAAAATAGCTATTTACACTAATGACATTACAAAAATAGCAAAAAAAAAATCGAAATTACAAAAATAGCCTACGATTTCGCAGATGAGAAGGCCCCATCTGTGAAATTACCTTCTCATCTGCGAAAGTACAAGCACCTAAAGCACAGCTGTGCTTTAGGTGCTTGTACTTTCGCAAGTGGTTTTAATATATATATATATATATATATATATATATATATATATTTTAATTTTTTTGCTGTATATATAGGGGTAATTTCGCAGATGGAATAGGTCCATCTGCGAAATCCTCTGACTCTATCTGCGAAATCGTTGTTGTTGTTGTTGTTTTTTTTTTTTTTTAGGTTGACTATGAAATGGTTTGGTTTCAATCATTTTTTGAGTAAATTGTAGAGAGAGTTCCTAAACAAATAACAACCAAAATGATATTTTTTTCTACAAAACTATTTATATAGCAACCTGATTTCGTAGTCAAACCAAACCATTTCATAGTCAACCTAAAAAAAAAAAAAAAAAACAACGATTTCACATATAGAGTCAGAGGATTTCGCAGATGGACCTATTCCATCTGCGAAATTACCCCTATATATACAGCAAAAAAAAATTAAAAATATATATATTAAAACCACTTGCGAAAGTACAAGCACCTAAAGCACAACAGATGAGAAGGTAATTTCACAAATGGGGCCTTCTCATCTGCGAAATCGTAGGTTATTTTTGTAATTTCGATTTTTTTTTTGCTATTTTTGTAATGTCATTAATGTAAATGGTTATTTTTGTAAATTTCTCTTCTTAAAACAAATAAATAGATCTTTAGTAGTAGTTGAGGTGGGGATTCTCTAGACAAACACGTCACGTTCATGTTACATACACCTACCACTATAATTAATTTGATTTATCTTAGCACTGTGAAGCACCCATACAAAAACAAAACCATATTTTTAAAAGATGGTCGGAAATTATATTATTTTTTTCTAGACCAACACATCACTTCATGTTACATACACCTACAACCGTTGACTTCTTGATATATGCTCTGAGGCTGATTTAATTCATCTCATCCAAATTTCTTTGCAATCATTTCGCATAAACTCTTCCCAATTAAGTTTCGACTTTATATATCTTTCAAGCACGTCTTCAATGGCGTCTTCTTCGACTTCACCTATTCACAGCTTTCAGTATGATGTGTTTTTAAGCTTCAGGGGTGAAGACACCCGTAAGAATTTCGTTGATCATCTTTATCTTGCTCTTGAGCAGAGAAAGATATCTACTTACAAGGATGACGAAAAAATCGAGAAGGGAAAACGGATCAGTGAACAACTCATTAGATCCATTGAAGATTCAAAGTTCTACATCATTGTTTTTTCCAAAAACTACGCATCCTCATCTTGGTGCTTGGATGAGCTTGTGAAGATAATGGAATGTCACAAGACTAACGAGCGTATTGCTTACCCCATCTTCTATGACGTGGAACCCACCGAAGTCCGCCACCAAACCGGGGCAGTTGGAAAAGCCTTTGCTAAACATGAAAAGGAAGAGTCTGCCGAGAAATGGAGAGATGCTCTGAAAGAAGCAGCCACTCTGGCTGGATGGGAGTTGAAGAACACGGTTGATGGGTAATGTCTTTATCGTATATTTGTCTCTCCAATATTCTTTTATTTTGACCCGAAATGATGCTATTCTTCCACATCGATTTTGGCCATTTTTTTGTTCTAATCAACATCGATCATAACATTAAGCATTACACATCCACCATGGATCGACTTCGGATTTCTGAAAAATCCGACTCAAGCAATGGGTTTTGCCCACCTTCCTCTATGGCGGCGGCTGTTTTGGCCAAAATCAGGACAGGACTAAAAAAAAGTCCCAATCATTTCAATTCCAGATCTGTTCCTGTTTCCATTATTTTCATAATTTCACAATAAGAGGTATTTGAGGTTTCTCTTAGTCATGATTCAGCCGTAATTACTACAATTCTTTCATCGTATCTCAGTAATATTCTTGCATTTTTTTTATTCTTTCTAAACTAGAATTAATGCTCTTGGAAGTAACTTGTAAGTAGGGTCCATGGCATCTCATGCAGAATTGTCAAGTTTTTAACTCCATCTCGAGTCTTGTCGAAAGATTAAATATATATGTGATTATATGAGTATGTTATTATTTATATATTAATGTACATTATTTGTATGTTATAGATCTGAAAGTTATTGTACATGTTGGATTTTGAGTAAGCAAACTGAATCCTCTTACATACAATACAGGCATGAAGCTAAATTCATTGAAAAAATTATCGAAGATCTTTTACTAAAGTTACCTTCCAACGATCTCATCATTGATGACAATTTAGTAGGCATGGAAACCAGGATCAACGAAGTCTTATCTTTTTTAGGAGTTGGGTTTGATGATGTTCGGATGGTAGGGATCAAAGGGATGGGTGGTTGTGGGAAGACAACTTTGGCCAGAGCTGTGTTCAATCAGATATACTCTAAGTTCGAAGGTTGCAGCTTCCTTGAGAATGTCAGGGAAAATTCATGTTCTGTCAGTTTGAAGTCATTACAGGAGCAAGTCCTTTTGAATGTTGTCTTAAATGCTCATCCCATCACCATAAATATACAAGGTGACAAGAAAAGACTGATGAAGCAGATGTCTAGGACAAAGGTTCTTGTTGTTTTAGATGATGTGGATTGTGTAGAACAACTTGAGGCGTTGGCTGGTAAGCCTAACTGGTTTGGGAAGGGAAGTAGAATTATCATTACCACTAGAGATGAACAAGTGCTGTTAAAACACAATGTGAAGTTGATTTATAATGTCAAGTTGTTATCGGATGAAGAAGCAGTCTGCCTCTTCAGTAGGCATGCATATGGGCGAGATATTCCGATTAGTGAAGAGCACAAAGGAATGTTAAGAAAAGTTCTACATTATGCTGAAGGTCTTCCCTTAGTGATCAGAGTATTGGGTTTAAATCTCGGTGCAAACGACAGTGCTAATGAGCGTGGATGGAAAGAAACCCTAGAAGAATTAAAAACAATTCCGTTGGAGGAGACTTCAAAAAAATTGGAATTAAGCTATAGTGGTCTGGAGAAGGATTACAAGGAAATGTTTCTGGATGTTGTATGCTTGTTGAAAGGTGAGACGAAAGACTATGCAACCGAAGCACTTAAAAGTTGCGAAGATTATGCAAAACTTGATTTAAAAGTTCTTGAGCGAAAATCTCTCATTACCTTTTATAAAAATTCTATGGGATATGAGTGTGTGGGCATGCATGACCATATTGAAGAAATGGGTTGGAATATCGTTCGTCGTTTGCACCCGGATAAGCCTAACCAACATAGCCGATTATGGATTGATGAGGAAATTGAATATATATTGGCTAATGACTTGGTAAGGACATCCACAATATATTGAACTTCGTAGATTTTAATGGATCATCACGTCATCATTTTACATTTCATATAACTTTACAATTTTTTTTTTCTTATAATGCATGCTCTGAAACTTAACAAAGTTCAATGAAATATTACCAAAACTAATTTATAATATTTATTTAAGAATTATGAAGTTTCTTTTTCTTATTGAAGAGTTCGATGGTTATTGAATGCCAATGTAATATCTCATAATGATAGATTTGCATTCATTGAATGACAACTAGACTTGTCATCTTATTCAACTTTCTCATTGAACTCTCCATTCCATTGTGAATGTTCAAATGATCAAATGCATTTGTAAGTTGGAAAAAAGTAACACGTTAATTATTAGTTGTTACAATACAAGTTTTATGTTGACTATGATTGCAGGGTACTGACGCAACAAGATGTATACAATTACGCACAAAGAAGCTCAACCCAGAGATTGTTATGCAAGGTCTTAGAAAGATGAAGCAACTTAGATTTCTTGACGTGCATGTGGAGAAAAACATCCGTGCAAATATATTTGATCGTTTTCCTTGGAATTGGAAATTTAATAAATTTGCCCCATACTTTCCGAATGCTTTACAATATCTACGTTGGAATAATTACCCTTTTAGATCTTTACCGAGAACATTTCAAGCAGATAATTTAGTTTCACTTGAGATAGCTCACGGCGAAATCGTACAACTTTGGGAAGGGGAAGAAAGAAAGGTAGACTTGTGGCTGATTTATTGTTTTGCATGATTCATTATAATGTTAAATATACATTGATCTTCACTTTGTTACACATATATTCAATTATTCATCATGTTCTTTTTGCTTATATTAGGTTCTTAACAAGCTCAAATTCCTGGACCTCTATAATTCAAGGTTGAGGACCCTTGACCTAAGGCTGACTCCAAATCTCGAGAAGTTGAGTCTTGGAGGATCTAATGATTTGGTAGAACTTGACATGGGTGCTGGATGTTTAAAGCTCATATACATTGACATCAGTTTTTCGAAGTTGAGGTGCCTTGATCTTAGGCCGGCTGTGAATCTTGAGCTGTTAGTTCTTAAGAATTGTGATGAATTGGTAGAACTTCATATGCCTAGTATATGTCTAAAGTTGAGATCCTTCCACCTTAGTAATTCAAAATTAGGAAGAATTGACCTAAGGCATGCGTCAAATCTCGAGGTTTTAAGGATTGATAGATGTGTAAATCTCAGATCCCTCACACTCCTTAAATCGAAGTTGAGGACCCTTGAAATCGGGCTGACTCCAAATCTCGAGCGTTTAGATCTTCAAAAGTCTGACAATTTGGAAAAGCTTCATATGGCCGATATATGTGAAAAACTTGCATATATCGATATTAGCCATTCAAAGTTGAGGACCTTTGACATTGGGCTGACTCCAAATCTCGAGCATTTAGATCTTCAAAATTGTGATAATTTAGAAGAACTTCCTATGGTCAATTCCTATGAAAAGCTTGCATATCTCGATATTAGCCATTCAAAGTTGAGGAGCGCTGACCTTAGGCTGACTCCAAATCTTAAGACATTAAAGCTTACAAATTGTTCTCATTTGGTAGAACTCAAGGCTCCAGCTGGGTATGTAAAAGGGCTTGTCTACTTAAGCTTAACTGGTTGTTTGAGGTTTAGTTCGTTTACTTATCGTAGTGTGGATGAATCGGATCAGGTTGGTCCTTTAGCTGAGTTACATTTGATTGCCAAGCCCCAAGAAATATGCCCAATTCACCCACATAATAAGTTGCCAAAGTTTCAGTTTGCATGTTTTTATGAAAAAAGTCCCCCCTCATTAAGTAGTAATCTTGAGGAGCTTATTTCATTTGGTCTCTGTGCTTGCACAAACTTTACTAGGATTTCAAGAAGCATTTGCGGGTTGCGAAATTTAAGAAAGCTTAAACTCCAAGGCAGTTTTCCAGAGGCACCCAAGGACCTCCACCAGTTAGATTGTCTAGAGGAGTTAAGTTTGTTGTCTACAAATATTAAACATCTTCCAGATAGTATTTGTATGTTGAAACATCTAAAATCTCTCGAACTCAATAAGTGTTCATTGCTTGAGAAGTTACCGGAGGATCTTGGTCAATTGGAATGTTTAGAGAAGCTATACTTGATCGAGTGTAAGTTTCTACAAGATATCCCGAACAGCATATGTAACATGAAATGTCTACAAGTGTTGCATATAAAAGGTACTTCTATAAGTCATCTTCCACGAAGCATTCTTTTGTTGAAAGGTCTAAGTATCCGTGGGTCAAGACAGCTTCTTGAGTCGTTTGGTTTTACATCCGAGATACAAACCTCAAAAAACCAAACATTGTGCCACGTGGAGGTGTGATTACCCACAGCAGGAATCTCCTCTGCTGTTATTTTGAGAGGCACTGAAGTCCTCAAAAAGCCAATTCACGAAGAACTATTGTAAAAGGTATTTCCTGTATTTTATTGATCTTCTTTCTTTCATTTGAGTTTTGAAATTGATAGCACAATACATAACTTTTCAGCCAAAAATCAACTATAATGCTTAAAAATTACAAGTACTGTACATAAATGAAGAATCCATGTTAAAGTTGTGTCTCATAGAGTAGCTTATTCATCGTTTATGTTAAATTTGAAGGCGTACTCGAGATAAAACCACCACGACTTGGAAAATCCCAAAGATGTCATTTATTCATGCATTGTACCATATCAGAATTCAAGCATCAGATGTTAAGATCCTGATATATGTGGATTTTGTGCACGTTAATTAACATGTAAGCTGTAAAGATCGTTTTTTTCCATTTTTGTGCATTTGAATTATATCTGTTCTACTATCGATGCTAACATTTAAACCATTTCCTGCAATCAAGAGTTTCAAAAAACCGAGAAGCAATGGGCACACAAGGTGATTTGCCAAACTACTTTTTTCAAAACTATTTGCTTTACACCATTCCATTTAATGAGTCTTGTCCTTGATAAACTTGAGTTTCTTTAACCATCATACTTTTTCTCCATTCATAATCCCAGAAGCTCTAACTTGTGATGTGTTGCACAATCTATATATGTATTATTTCTTTTATTTTCATAAAACATGTTTTATGGTAGTAACCTGGTTTTAGCCTTGTTTGTTTTTTGTGCTTAGGCTCTACATATATGCCAATTGGAAGAAGATAAGGAAACATCACAAGGTTTTGGGTGGGAGTTAAATTAAATCAATGTACAAGAAGATATTACAAAGGATTCAAGGAATTATGATAACAAAGAGTTAATGTTCAGTTAGAGTTATTTAGTGACAGTTAAGAGGTATAAGAGCCCACATCAATGGTGGAAAAAAAATTTCATTTCTTCTTTCCTGGCTGAATTAGTTCCTCAAATCACAGATCAGTTACAATTTTGAGCTGCTTATTCAGATCAGAACATTGTTTTTTCTTTATTCTGTTCTTTAATTCATAGATCTAATCTGTTTCTGTTCTTTCCTTTACTTGAACAAAAATTTTTGTTTTTTCAGCAAAATCAGAATTCTCTTCTTTGATTCACCAGGAATTATCAATCAGTTTCCATTGACAAATATAGCGAATTTTGTGTCTATATAGTATATACAAACTCGATAGGGGAGAATTACCTGCTTTGGGTGCATCATTTCAAGACGATTTTACAAACAATGGATATGGAATCATTTGTTGATTCATCTACTTCTCGTCCAATTTCAAAGCTATAGGTATCAATCTTTATGCTGAACTCTGGAGCTTCTCATTTGCAACAAGGATTTGCTAAAAAGTCACGTGACTTACAAAATATTGCACAAGGAAAATTGTTAATAATATTGTATTAATGCGGCAAAATCAAGACATTGCATGAACAATTAAAGGCGGTATGTGACCTGTTGTTATTCTGATTCAGTTCTCACTGTCCTCATGGTTTAAATGCTGCCTTTGCTAACTTTGCAATGATGATTAAGAGTTCTGTTTCACCTCGTGATATTGCTACCTTGAGATCAAAATTGCTACTCCATGAACAAAGACTCTCAAGACAAGCCAAAAGAGTTACTGACCCCGTTGTTGCCATGCACTCTTCCTTTGTAAATCATCCTCCATTCCTCCTCATACTGAAAAATCCTCGGTAGTGTGTCATATATGACATAATCGGGACTGTTAATAATCTATTCAATGCGTGTGTTTTTCATTAATAATACAAGTATATATGCAGGTTGTGATACACTGGATATGAACGATATCTTTACTAACTAATATCCCATAATACTAGGAAACATTATCTTGCTGTGTTGATACTATAATCTCGGCTAATATACCCCCACAGTCGAATCGGGAGGAGCACGGACGTTGAGGTTGTTTTTTGAAGTCATCAAATAGCACGAGAGGTAGACCTTTGGTGAAGATATCGGCGACCTGATAGCGTGAGGTTATGTGAGAAACACGGATTTGACCACGAGCAACTTTTTCCCGAACAAAGTGGATGTCAAGCTCGATGTGTTTTGTTCTTTGATGTTGAACAGGATTGCAAGATAGGTATATTGCACTGACATTGTCACAGTAGACGAATGTGGCTTTATTTTGAGGCAATTTAAGTTCTAATAGTAGATTTCGTAGCCAACATGTTTCAGATACTACATTTGCAATGCCTCTATACTCCGCCTCGGCACTTGATCTGGAAAGAGTTGGTTGTCGCTTTGATGACCAAGAGACGAGATTGTTTCCCATGTAGATAGCATATCCTGACGTCGATCGTCTTGTATCCGGGCAACCTGCCCAATCAGCGTCTGTGTATGCGATAATGGAGTGTGTGGGTGACCGGGTAATGTGCAAGCCATGATGGAGTGTGCCCTTTATGTCGTGTAAGATCCTTTTAAGAGCATTGAAGTGAGTTGTTCGAGGAGCATGTATGTGCATGCAAATTTGCTGAACGGCATAACATATATCTGGACGAGTGAACGTTAGATATTGGAGCGCACCGGCTAATTGACGGTATTGAGTGCCTCCATCGGTCAAAAGAGTGCCGTCATTTTTACTTATCTTGGATTTTGTGTCAACTGGTGTGGAGGATGGATGACAGGAACTCATGCCGGCTCTTTCTAGGATTTCGGTGGCATATTTGTGCTGCGAAAGATGAATTGATTTTTTCGTTCGTGTGACTGAAATGCCAAGAAAGTAGCTTAGGGGACCAAGATCTTTCATTGCAAATTCCTTGGCTAATAGTTGCATGAATTTTTGGCGTAAGTGGGGTGATGATGTCACGAGCAAGATGTCATCTACGTAGAGAAGTAGGAAGGCCGTATGTGATCCGTTCTTGTAAATGAACAAAGAATGATCACATTTGCTGTGTTTGAATCCCAAAGTGAACACGTAATCAGCGAATCGTTGGTACCAAGCCCGGGGCGCTTGTTTGACGCCGTATAAAGATTTCTTGAGTAAGCAAACATGGTCCGGATAGGAGGGATCGCGAAACCCTGGGGGTTGGTGCATGTACACAGTTTCATGTAGGTGCCTGTGTAAAAATGCGTTTTTCACGTCAAGTTGGTGAATTTGCCATGCATTTGAGAGAGCAATGGAAAGAATTGTCTGTATTGTTGTTGGCTTCACCACGGGACTAAATGTCTCCCCACAGTCAATTCCTTCCTTTTGAGACCTGCCATCACAAACCAAACGAGCTTTGTATCGCTCTAAAGAACCATCAGACTTAGTTTTGTGGCGATAAATCCACATACTCCGTACCACATTCATATTCGGAGTTTTTGGGACTAACTTCAACGTATTATTGTCAATAAGGGCCTGGAATTCATCGTTCATGGCTGTATTCCAATCCGGATTTTTGAGAGCTTCCAAAAAAGTTTTAGGTAAAGGTGAAATAGACGATGTAGAATGAAGAATGAAAGGTTGTTTTGGTTTAGAGATGCCGGACATACTTCTGGTGTGGATGGTTCGATTGGAGGTAGATTGTGACATGGGGGGAGGGGGGTTGTTGGTTGCTGTATGACAGGAGATGGATGTGAAGCCCGATTAGAACGACGTGAATAAGTAAACTGGATGGGAGGTTTTTGAGATGGAGTGGGATTAGTGGTTGGCAAGGATTCAGAAGAAGAAGACCATAAGGAAGGATGGGGATCTGATTCAGTTTGAGATTGAGTGGAAGTAGTTAATGGTGAAGATGGCAATTTTGAGAATGGGAATATTGTTTCGTCAAAAATGACGTGGCGGGATAGGATGATGGTACGGGTTTGGATGTCATAACATTTATACCCCTGATGGTTGGATGGATAACCCAAGAAAACACAGGGTGATGACCGTTTCTTTAACTTGTGTGTAGTAGTAGGAGAGGTGAGGGGATAGCAAAAACATCCAAAAGTGCGTAAATGAGAATATGTGGGTTGGAGATTGTATAGAAGGTGAGTAGGTGTGAGTTTATGTAAGAGATTACTCGGAAGAATGTTGAGAAGATAAGTGGCGTGTTGAAGAGCGTGTTGCCAAAAATGTAATGGTACCGTGGAGTGAGCAAGAAGAGTCCGCAACACATTATTTATTGAACGGATTTTTCTTTCCGCTTTGCCATTTTGCGTAGATGTGTGTGGACAAGAGAATCGAAATTGGATGCCATTTTGAGAACAAAACTGATGGAAATTATGATTGTTATACTCGCGGCCATTATCACATTGTATTGTTTTGATTGTAAAGTGAAATTGGGTTTTGATGAGTGTGAAAAATTGAACGAAAGTGGAATAAACTTGAGATTTGTGTGCAAGTGGGTATGTCCACAAGAAATTAGTTTTGTCATCTAAGAATAACAGATAATATCGATGACCACTAGAACTTAGCACAGGTGATGTCCACAAATCTGTGTGAATTATATCAAAACGTAAATGTGTGATAGAATTTGAAGCATAAAAAGGAAATTTAGATTGTTTTCCAAACACACAGGAAGAACAAACAGGAGATAAAGTTTTAGAACTAGAACTAAATTTCAAAGTAGACTGTAAAGAAGATAAAATATCAGATCACGGATGTCAGAGCTGATGGTGCCATAAATCCTTGGTTATTGCAGCAAAAGTTGAGGGTGTTGTAACTTGGGATGATGATTGAAGTGTGAAAGGATAAAGATCGCCAGAACTATTGCATCGAAGAAGTGGTGTCCGCGTCTCGAAATCCTTCACATCAAAACCGAAAGGGTCAAATTCCACAGAAAGATTATTGTCAGTGGTGAACCGACGAACAGATAAAAGATTTTTGATAATATGAGGAGCATGAAGAACATTTTTGAGAATTAATGGAGGGAAAGGGTAAGGCAAAGTTTGATGTCCGGTACCTTGGATTGGAATAGTGGAACCATTACCGACAGTAATATTCCGAAAAGGGCGATTATTTTGATAAGACGTGAAGTTACCTGAATTATTTGTCATGTGGGAAGTAGATCCTGTGTCCGCATACCAATTTGTGTCAGGTGGGTGGAGCGACATCGTGTGGAAAGCCTGCTCCAAATCAGTTGGCATGTAGCTGGAGTCGTAGGTTGCATAGGCCTGCTGGGGTCAGCTTCCAAGAAGACCAGGTCCATTAGATGGAGGTCTGGTGTTACCAAGTTGTTGTGTAGGATAAGGGCACGGTGGATAGGCCCATGGTGAGTAGTTTTGGAATGCCCATGGAGGTGGTGTAAGCCATGGTTGATAGGAGCGTGTACTAGAACCCGAACTATGTTGAGGTTGATGTGAACCGTTGAGGAAGCCCCGTCCCCTGTTGTTGCTCGATCTACCCCGACCACGACCTCCTCTGCAACGACCTCGTCCACGAAAAGAGTTAAAATCAGGTTGTTGTTGATTGAATCGGTTGTTGTTGTCGTTGTTTCTGGGGTTCACAGGTGTTGTGGATGCTGTTAAACCGGTTGTGGTGGCGCTGATGTGAGGTGAAGGTGCAGCTGCGGCTGCTTGATGAGCTTTGCGAGATTCTTCCATGATTAGTTTTGATCGGACTGCATAAAAATCAGGAAGAGGAGTGGTTTGTTGTATGAGCATGGCAACACCTTCGTAGCTTTCATTAAGACCGGCAATTAGTTGTAAAACGAGCCTTTGATTGGATATCAGGTTTCCCACGTTGGCAAGCTGGTCCGCCAACATCTTCATAGCTTGGCAGTAGGAGGAGATGTTGGGATGATGATCAAGGCGGGTGGAAACGAACTTGCTGTCGAGATAGACAACCCTTGAACTTTGATATCTTGAAAAATATTTTCGAGAGCTTACCAAGCCTGTAAAGCAGTAGGCTGAGGTTTCAGGATGGTATGAAGAAGATCATTGGAGATTGTACTATAGATCCACTGAAGAACAATCGCGTCTAGACAAGACCAGATTTGAGATTCAGAGGTTACTGTGGCCTTTTCGGCCTCAATGGCAGTTGAGGAAGAGGGGGCGGATGGTGGTGGCTTGACTTCAGGGTCGATGTGATTTTCAACTTGGAAAGCACGACAATGTATTTTGAACAACTCAGCCCATGAGGTGTATTGACCGTTTTCCATTTCAAGAGTGAATGGAATGAAGTTTCTGATGTTTGTAACAGTGATGGCTGGGTATTTTTGGGATCCATGGTGGAAGAAGATCATATAGAAGAAAGAAAGAAGTTCGGCGGCTGAGAAAGGGTTTTTAGAAGATTATACGCTCTGATACCATTTTAATAATCTATTAAATGCGTGTGTATTTCATTAATAATACAAGTATATATACATGCTGTGATACACTGGATATGAACGATATCTTTACTGACTAATATCCCATAATACTAGGAAACATTATCTTGCTGTGTTGATACTATAATCTCGGCTAATAGGGACATTATGCCAGCCTTTGCTTTCATTTCGCGACTTTCCTCAAACTGGAGGAGGAAGAAGTAATTTTCGAGGAAGAGGTAATTTTCATGGAGGTTCAATGGTACTTCTCAAGAAACATAGTTGGGTTTAAAAACCTTAGAACATGATTGCCATATATTTTTTGGGGAATTGTTGAATTTTTAAAAGAGTAAATTACATGAATGGTCCTGTGGTTTGGAGTAATTTGCACGTATGATCTCGATCTTTTTTTTTTAACTCGACGGTCCCTACAATATGATTTTGTTGCGTCTCTGGTTCTGTCAC